CAATATTCAGTGCTTTAGTATCATGGCTAACAAAAAAAAAAGTCTTTTTATCCTTTTATTAGTCACTTTTTATGGCTTAAATTTTATTAAATATACCATATTTCACCCTTACGCCCCGTAAAATTCAATTCAGTTGCAAAATCACAAAATATTTAAAAAACAGTTTGTTAATTAAAACTAAAAAATAAATATCTTACATCTTTCTGAATGGCAACAGTCCCGCTCGCTAGAGATAAAAATGTTTTATTTCGGAGAATGTTGCCACTGCTCGCTTTCAAATCTTTGAGTTTATTACTCAAAAATGTGTTAAAGGTTTAAGAAATACATAGTAAAACAAATTCGAAATTCAAAATTCGTCCTTCCAAGTGCACATGTTCGGATGGAGGACTGCGTTTTTCAGAATTTAAGGGCTTTAGAAGTACCGACTTTTTTCACTAAGCGAGGAATATATATGCGTCTATATGTTACGATGAAACACCGAAATCTGGAGAATGTCGACTTTCACCGGTGAATGTCAACATTCACATAGTTAAGACACAATAACACGCAGAATAAGTACTAATTCAGAAGTCAAACAACAAAAATTAGCGTTAATTTTTCAAAATTTTCACAGGACTAGTTTCGATGGTTTTACCGAGCCACCATCCTCAGCTGCAAAACCGCAAAATGCTGAGTTTGCGGTTTTGCAGGTGAGGATGGTGGTTCGGTAAAACCATCGAAACTAGCCCTGTGAAAATTTTGAAAATTAACGCTGATTTTTGTTGTTTGACTTCTTAATTCACATAGTTGTTTGGTGTATGTCCGAAATATTTTCCCAAATACTCTTATTTCTGAATTACACCGATCAATGTCGACATTCACCATGTACTAATGGTGAATGTTGAACATATAAGAATATTATATTTTCTTCGCCGTAATTCAGTCGCGAAACTCAGACTTCAAACTTAAAATAAGAACTTAAGAATAAAAGAACTTAAAACGCACAGTACATTTAAAATGAGAAAGGAAAATAATAGAATTAAAACTTGATATATCTAAAAAAAAAATTATAAAGTACGTTTAATGAGAAAATAAAATAATAGTTATAAAATACTTGCTAAATTATGTGATTCAAATCTTATTTATTGCAACAACTTAAACTATTATGACACTTTATGACCTCTCTTTTCGACCTACACCAGAGCATATCTGTGATTGTCGAGATACAGCGGTGAGGGTCCGAATGTACAAGAATGTAATGCAATATTCGATCTTTCACCGACGTATTTGGTAAATGTTGACATTCTCCCGTGAAAGTCGACATTCTCCAATTTCGGTCTTTCACGGTAACATATACATACACATTTATGTTCTTCATTGTTTAATTTCATTAGAACTAACATAGGGCGATAGTATTTGGTGGTAATAATTCGAAACGTGACACGCCGTTTAAGTGAACTGACGTAAAATCCCGTTTCGAGATTAATCGCCTTTTTCAGGCTAAAAAAAACGCATAATTATTTTTCTTTACAAAAAAAATTAAAATGGAATAAGTAAATGTCGTAAGCAAAATTTACATTTCTTCCCAATATAATAACCGACAAATTCATGTTTCGCAAAATTTATATTTATTTATATTCGAATAATCAATTAATTATTCATAACCTCTTCATAATCTATGCAGATGCATGGTAAAATTCCCCAAGTAAAAGCTATTTTATATGTCATAAGTATACTGAAAGCATAAAAATCGTTGAGTTCCTGTAAATATTACAATGCAATATTCCAGTTCTATAAATAAATGACATTTACATTTCCTCTAAAAGACTTCTCGAAACTAGTGCAGTTTTAGTAAATACACAGCAAAACAAAACGTAGTCAACAATATTACGGAAACACCACTTAGCATTTATCATATCGGATCAGGGCTATGTTATGCCATAACGATGATTATCATCGTAGAATGGTATCGAATAATAAAATCATCGTTTAACTTATCCAGGAACAGTGGAGAATAGGCAATTGTTATACGTGTTTACATTGTCAGAACTCCGTGTCTCCAATTTACAACTCTAATTACGGTTAGGAGTAATCGAGAATCTTTGAAACAATATGCTCTTTGTCATCGACGTTGACAGTAATTCTTTAATTTTCTTTTTCCTGTATGAATATAATTTGAAATAACTCAACCCTTTCTCGGGTACGTCTCAGGCAGTGTGATTTTTTTGTACGACATTTACATCTTCGTAACTTTTCAATGCGTTTGCTTAAAATGCAGAAATTATTGTTGAAGCAAGATATATTTGTTATTTATACTAGTATTAAAACAAAAGCTCTTTGTGTAGTTTATCTTACACTGTAATAAAATGGTTAGATTAGTAAATTAAATAGAGAATGCTACTATAAATTCATAAGCACTGAACAAAGAAATTCGAAGTATGTTGTAAAGATTAGCTATTTCGTGAACGTAGCATACGCTTCTGCAACTTTAATAAGGTTTATGAAATTTCTTAATATTGTTACGAATTTGGTAATTAAAAAGCTAACGTTAATTCAATTATAAATTAAATGGTTTCATTTCGCGCGTAGTGAAGCGCGTGACGAATATTAAAAGAAGAAAGCTAAGCCGGAAAATTAAAAATACAAGAGCACGTGCATTTAACATTAAATAAATAAATATCTCTCTTTGATTTCGAGAAAGTATCAGAAAATTCTCGCACGCGATTTAAAAATCTTATAAAAGGAGGGAAACCTCTCAGTTCGTAGTAGTTGCTTAGTTTGTTGTTTGTTTAGAAAAGTGCTCTTGTTGATTGTAGCGAATTCGCGGATTAGCTTTCTTTAGCTGTTTTGAATTACGTTCTATTGGACATTTGAGTAGTTAAAAGATAAATATTGTGAGATATTGTAATACTGCATGATAATTTGAGAAAATTTAGGCATTTTTGTTGTGATAATAATAAATTTATGTTCATTTTTCATCGGACTTGTGTATCCATTTCATAACGAACCCTTACGCACGCAACAATATATATAAATATATTTAAATACGTTTGGTGCCGCCGATTGCAACCAAAATACAAGGTGCACATCTACATGTTATAGCAGTCCTATATACAAAATTTCAACGTTCTGAGGTTACTCGTTTTTGAGTTATGCGAGATATGTACGTACGCACGTTTCGTACAGATGCCACGAAAAATTCTCTTCAGAATTCATTTTAAAGCAGTTTTATAGGGTTGTTTTTTTTTTTTTTTTTTTTTTTTTTTTTTTTTTTTGAGGAAAAGAATGTTTGACTTACATTTTTGAGATTTAAAAGATGCCTCAGAAGCCAAAAAATCATGTCATATTTAAGAAAGTATTTTAGGAAGAAACTCTATAAATAGAAAAGAAATAATGCATAATTTTAATATTAATAATACAATAAACTTTGATCTTAATTTTTGTACCTTAACCGAATAAAATCGAATTACCTTAATTTTTTTTCTAATGTAATTAACGAAAACTTGTGAAAATATTTCATTCAAATGAAACCGTTCTGAGCAAACTCTTCTGTGAAAAGTACAGCATTTAATTCCATTCGGAATGAAATAATGTTTAAAAGTGTATTCTTTACAAATACTCAGGACTCTGAAATATTGTAGAAAAAGAAAATATATACATTTATGTGTATATTTACGACGTAATTACAAAATATTTGCATCCGATTGTGTCAAATGAACTTAATGGTAAGACACAGAATGTTTTGGTCGCCACGAAGGATCCCTGAAAGCCTGTATTGGGGAAAACCGGTTAGGAGCTCTCCTTCTTACTTCCTACCTCCATGGCTTTAATCGAATAAACTAAAGCTAGAAAATGCTATATTATGTGAAACTGACTAACGAGAATAACAACCGGTACAAAAAAGAGGAATGCGTTCTGAAAGTTTTTAAAAAAATTATTATTTTAATGGTTTTCAGTGTTGTCTCATTTAAATTAAATTTTTTTGTAACGTGAGATGGCTTTTCTCTTTTTAACAAACGAATCAAAATTTGTATTTCATCTCCAAAGAGATAACGTATCTTTTGAAAGTTGATTTTTACTTTCAGACAAAGTTTGGGACTGAAATACGAGTACAATTTCGCAACGGTTACGACTAAAAATGACAACGCAAATTCGTAACACATACCCAAACGTTTTCTTGAAAAGTTACTTCGAAAATCGCAGTTACGCAATTTACGCTGTCTACCACTGAATACTTGCAGCACAATATACGTGCTATGTAAATGACGCGCACAAGTCAATTTTAAAAGAATTTCGATATGAGAGTTCGGGTATTCTCGGAATTTATTTACTTATTTATTGTGTTCATATATAAATAAATATATTGTAATTATATTGTTCATATATAAATAAATATATTAAATAATTGTTATATCTGTTATTATAGATTATGGTACAGTACAACTTAATTTTATAAATTCTTATTAAAAATAAAAATTCGTGTTATCAAAATACGTCCATTATGGTAGACCAAAAAAAAAATATTTTACAATTTTTCTATCGCTAAATCCCGAAAATGTTTCATATCGCCTAGCTAAGCAAAATTAATGAAATAATTTCCAAATCAAATTATATCTTCTGTTCACTAAATCACGATCTGTATCTCACTAAAAGGTTTTGAAAACATGGCGAAATTTTGATATTTCTCGTCAGCATTTTACAGTTACAAAAGTCACCAATAACGAAACGCCAGTGGTGTCAGTGCGAATTTCGGGTCATGAGAAATGCGAAAGAATATTAAAACCAGATACTTTAAATTACAATAATGCATGTGAAAATTAACACAAAATGAAGTAATTACGCAAACTGAACCAAACGTATAGAAAATTTAAAGAAAGCCAGGCAAATGATTAGAATTAAAAAGTGATTGCGCATGCGTGGAACGAGAACGGGCCGCTTGTTCCATGTACAAGGTAACCAAAAATGTTCTTGCCGTTTTGGGCAGTCAGGAAAAAAAGTCCTAGAACAAGTAATAATCACTGCTAATACCCAAAGTAATCACCATCGGCATCTAATACCTTTTGCCAACAAGTGGCTAGCTGTGCGATGACATCGCGGTAAAAGTCGGGAGTCTTGGACACAAAGAAGTCCGTAAGGGCCTTTTCGAGGTCTGACTGGTTGTTGAATGATTTCCCACGAAGAGGGTTGTCCAGGGAATGGAATAGGTGGTAGTCTGTTGGCGCAAGGTTTTGGGAGTGTGGTGGACGGTGTAGTGGCTCCCAGCCCAGTCGCTGGATGGTGTCCCTGGCCTCCCGAGCCACATGTGGCTTTGCATTGTCATGGAAGAGTACACTCTTACGACTAACCAATGCTGGCTCTTTATGCGTTAGTTCCTGATGCGCACGTTCCAGTTGCTGCCAGTACATATCTGCTGTGATGGATTGACCCACTGGCAGGTGCTTACAGTGCATCACTTCGCGACTAGTCCACCAGATACAGAGCATGATCTTGCATGGGTGGAGAGAAGGTCTCGCAGTGTGAGGCACAGGGTCCCGTGGTGACAACCAATGTCTGGAACGTCTGGGTATGTCATACTGGACCCACATTTCATCGCTGGTAAATACTCGATCAAATATGGATGCACTGCGGTGACAAGTAAAGAATGACCTACACGAGGGACACACTCTTGCTTGTTTGCATCGGACAGTAAGTGGGTTACCCACTTACCCAGCTTGTATGCCTTTCCTATATGTTTCCAATGGAGTCTGATCGTTTCATTAAACACCTGGAAGTATGCAGCAAGCTCATCACATGTTTAGCTACCTTCACTCTCTATGTCTGTTCTCAGGGCCTCGTCGTCCAGCGCTTGTGGCCGACCGTTGCGTGGTGCATCCCTAAGAGACATATCTCCTGACCTGAACTTCTGCAATCATTGCCTAGCGGTTCTTCCGTTAACGGCCTCACCCCCAAAGGACTGGCCAATTGGGCGACTTGATTCTCCTGCTGACACAGGCCCAATTTAAAATCATACAGCAAACAACCTTGAATGAGTGCCTTTCACGTGTCCATTTCAATCAGTCGCTGTGTGAATTATGTTTGAAATACTTTGATAATTGTCAGTTAGGCTGGCCTCAGCGCGATATCTATCGCGCTCTTACCAGCACTTCAATTATTCCTGGGTACGGCAAACCTCGCATGAAGATCTTCGAGTGGAAACTCTGTGAGTAAAGGAAATTAGAAGTAAATTAGGCCCATACCTGTGAGAATTGAAACTGTAAGAAAATTAATTTGAAATAGTAGAAAGGAATATGCCAATTATTTTGATGTTGTATGTAAAAAGATGAGTAGCATACGGGCGGAGCTTAAAGTCTTCTTCCAGGAGATCGTACCTGAAATTATCTGCATAATTAACAATGTTAGTGTTGGTGGCCTTGGTATAAAAGTTATTATTAATTTGCCCAATGTAAGTTTTGATGTCATCTAGTTTTAGGTCTCTGTGTAGGTCAGTGTTTCTAATGAACCATGGAGCTCTCGTTATGTTTCTAAGTTATTTTGAAGCGTCTGAAGTTTGATATAATCAGATTTTGAAGCGCCGCACCAAGCTGGGGATGCATAAGTAAGAATTAGGCGTAAGATGGAGGTATAGATCCTTCGTTTACTGGCGAGATCAAGCGTGGATGTTGAGATAATAATGTTGTTTTCTTGCCACACCTGTTGCTTTGCCTATGGCTGTCGTGACGTGAGGGTTCCAGGTAAGCGTGGAGTTGAATTTGACGCCAAGATATGTTGCCTGAGTGACTTTAGGCACTTTTTCATTAAATAATGTCATGTCAACATCCTTATTTTTCTTGCGGTGACGACCTATGAGCAAGAGTTTGGATTTAGTTGCGTTAATACGAGTTCTCCATTTACAGCACCAATGTTCAATTTCATGCATCAGGCTCTGGATGCGAGTTATTGCATGAGTGGGGTTGAGTGAAGAAGAGAAAATATCAATGTCGCCAGCGTAGCAGGCGGTGATGCAATTAGTATTGTTATCAACATCGGGAAGTCCATGGCATAAATTAAGTAAAACAAAGGCCCTAGATTAGATCCTTGAGGAACGCCAGCAGCAATGTTTCTTGGGGTGGATTAAAGTTGACCTTGTCTGATTGTGAACGTTCTGTGACTGATAAAGGAATGGATCATCTATATTAACTGTCGGGCAACATCGAGAGTGGTGAGTTTAAAAATAAGTCCATTATGCCATAAAAATAAGTCCATTATTCCAGTATGCGGTCAAAAGCTTTGGCCACGTCCAGCATAAGGAACGCAGTGGTTTGATGCTTGTGTATTGCAGAACTGAGAAACTCGACAATCCTCACTAGTTGCATAGTGGTAGAGAGGCACCTGCGGAATCCGAATTACTGATTAGGCAGTACGTTGAGAACAGGGTCCAATCGGATGTAAAGAATACGTTCAAGTATTTCTCCGAGCGAAGGGAGTAAACTTATCGGTTTATAAATTCAAACTTTCGTGGAGGGTGTGCTTCCTGGTTTTGGGGAACAAGGTAATTATGGCATGTTTCCACGCCGTCGGAAAATAGTTTAGAAATAGGCAGGCATTCAAAATTCCGCAGAGTTTGGAGATGTACTTTCTAGGTAGATTTTTCGGTATTTTGTTTGATATATTGTCATGTCCCGGTGCTTTCCTATTATGTAGTTTGGAAATGATGTTACGGATTTCGCTGGGGTTTTTGAAAGTTGGGAGATTGTTTGCCGTGGGCTGAATCGACCATTTTTCAACCGAATGGTTTACAAATTGGGTGAAATTGCCATCAGCTGGGGTATCATTAGGTGCGAACAGATTTTCAAAATGATCAGCAAATGCATTGGCCTTATCTTAATCTGTGTAGAGGAATTCATTGGCGTTCTGAATGGGCATGTTTTTCATTTTATTTGATTTTTGCGGACGTATGTTTTTCCAAAAAGCACCATCTTCTGAGTTTAGATTGACAATTTTAATATTTCAGGTTTTAATTCTGTGTTCATCAATGAGACGTTTAATTTTTCTGTTCATTTTGTTGATTACGGATTTAATAGCTGGGTCAACGTGAATATGTATAATGTTTAAGGCTGTACACATATTCATATTATATACATATTATTTAATGATTTAATTTTTAAGCCTTAATATTTATTACATTTAAGGCTTTCAAAAGCCTATGTATATAATATGAATATGTATATAATATGAATATGTATAATGTTAAGGCTGGGTCACGTGAATATGTATAATGTTCATTCACGTGAATATGTATAATCTAAGGAGATTACGTTCTCAAATTTGATTTTTAATTTCCAGAGGGAGCTTCAGGTTCTGTTTATTGCTTTTGCGTTCTGTGGTTGAAGAATCATACGTATTTTTGATATTACGAGGGTTGGAACTTTAATAGTGGCAACACAGCTGAAAAAACGCTACGCAACAAAAACAAAGAATATCGCGTATACCACACGTAAACTACATACCTACCTTACCTCTCAGCAAAAAGACTCGTCCTGCCTACGTCACGCGCATGCGGAGTGATGCGAAGAACGAATCCTTGTATTAGCTCGCGGTTTAAAGTAAGTGTTGTCAGGATGTTTTCAAAACAAAAACAACGATGTTGGATAAAAATTGAATGTGCCAGAGGTCGTACAGCACGACAGTGTCATCAAGGGCTTCAAGAGGCTTGCGAACCCACCTGGAGCGCGAAGGAGATGCTTTTTTACGCCGTATCATTACGCTGGATGAGACTTGGGCCCGATCGTACCAGCCAGAACTGAAACGCCAATCAAACGAATGGCGTCATCACGGGTCACCCCGACGTTCGAAATTTTGTCAGAACCCCAGCAATGGAAAGTTATGGTGATTCTCGTGTACGACTGTGATGGTGTATCCTAACGCATACCGTTCCCCACTAAAGACCGTCACTGCGCAGTATTACTGCTCATTTTTGGAGCACAATCTCCGACCAGCTTTGAGAAAAAAACGGCGACACTTTCTGCGAACGCTCCTCTCATTTGCAGGACAATGCTCGGCCGCATGCAGCGCAAGCTGTGACTGATTTGTTCAGAGCGATGGGCTGGGAATTGCTTTAACCATCCACCATACTCCCCAGATCTAAGCCCTTGTGACTATGACTAATTCCTAAGGTAAAGGAACCACTTCATGGCACTCGCTTCCAAACTATTCCTGAGATTCTTGTGGCAGTAGACCGGTCCATTCAATTTATCAACAAAACAGGCGCTGCTACAGGTATTATGCGACTTCCTCATCATTGGAAACGGGTTGTACACAATGCTGGCGACTATATTGATGGACTGTAAAACATGGTGACATGAATCACTTTTGTATTCCTTGTAAAATAAACAGTTGCCACTATTAAAGTTCCAACCCTCGTATTAGTGAGAATTTGAATGGCCGAGTCAACTTCCTCTGTGCTTTTGAGGGAATACCAATGCAACGCGCTTTTACACTCTTGGTCGATGTCCGGACTCCCATCCTAGCAACTTCATCGCCAGGTTTGGCGACTATTTTTATGTTGGGCGGCTATTTTTATGTCTACTCTTCCAAATGACATATCTGAAACGGTATGAACGTTTTTGGTTACTTTCCATATAAAGAACTGTAAAGTTTCTTTGAAATCCGTTTGTCGTCCTCTGTCTGCGGCGAACGTTTAATTAGTGGTATGTCTCGTCAAAAGCAGAGGGCTCCATGCCACCAACTAACGGAGTTCGAACAAGACCGCATCGTCGGTATGCGAGAGGGTGGACCTTTGCATCGAACAATCGCAGCCCGCATGCAGCGTAATGCCACAGCAGTGATGAATGTTTGGAAGAAATGGATAGGGGAGAACCAAACAAGGCGAAGTCCTGGCAGTGGGGTACGACAGACATCTCATCCAGATGACCTTTTTTTGAACAACTGAAAATTGAATTATTGCTTCATAAAAGAACCAAAAACAGATTATATCGGGCAAGTTTCTCCCTCTATAAGACTTGCTAAATCTGTTAGCTTCTACAATAATCTCCCACCTGACTACATGTGAGGAGATGTGACAGAGAACAAACCAATAGGACCAGCAAGAAAACACCTTATTTAAATACAAAAGGTTAAAAACTGTGACGGACAATCAATTACATCATATTAAGACAATACAAAGCTTCCACTAGACTGCAAAAATAATTTTTGGCATTTGAATATTTTCTGCGGGCTTTTTGTTAAAAACAACAATTTAATTTTTTCAGGATTAACAAAAAGAAATTACGCGTTACTTCATCTCCATCAAAGAAAGCATTAAATTCCTCCACTAACTCTTTAATTAAAGTGTTTTTAACGATGCCATGTATGCTAAGCACAAAAGAATTTCAGCAAGGAACAAAAAAACTAACAGCAATAAGAAGATGAACGAACTTTTTTCTCCGCCTTAAAAACTATTGTCGCGTTTTTTGAAAGCAGACTTCTTTATTAAAACATACCTTCAAAGAATGCTACAGACACAGAAGACAATATGAAAAGAGTTCAACGAGAATATAAGTAGCGGGAGTTAAACGGCACAAAAAGACAATTTGTTGTCGTAGGGGGA